ACAGGGCTCAAACTCACTAACTGTGAGATCATGACCTGAGCCAAAGTCAAGAGTTGGATGCATAACCAATTGAGCCATCCAGGGGACTCTCCCAGTGTGTCTTTCTAAATACCAGTATCTTCTTTTTTTTTTTCCTGTTCATTTATTTTGAGTGAGAGAATGTGAGAACATGAGTGGGGGAGGGGCAGAGAGAGAGAGAGAGAGAGAGAGAATTCCAAGCAGGCTCCAAGCTGTCAGCACACAGCCCAATGCAGGGCTCGATCTCTCCAACCCGTGTGATCATGACCTGAGCTGAAATCAAGAGTCCGAAGCTTAACCAACTGAGCCACCCAGGTGCCCCCAAAACCTGTATCTACCTATTTTGAGGGGGAAGGGGCAGAGAGGGGGAGAGAGAATCCCAAGCAGGCTTCACACTGTCAGCACACAGCCGGATGTGGGGCTCAAACTCACGAACCTGTGAGATGATGACCTGAGCTGAAATCGAGTCAGATGCTTAACTGACTGAGCCACCCAGGTATCCCAAAATACCAGGATCTTTTGATAAACTCTTTTGGAGGGTCTAGTTGGAGAAATCCTTCCCTTTCTCGAGGTCTTGGAAGATATTCTCCTATAGGTCTTGTTAAACTGAAACGGGAAGGAATTGCAGCGGCCTGGTGCCTTGTTCTTCCTAGATTCTCCACGTCCGTCAGGAGCTTTTCTCCTCGCACCATCCCCTGCAGTCACGATGCACCGTTTCCGCCTCAGAGGTCTCTAGACCCTGCTTCTCCTCACCTCCCCGACACCCTCGTGGGCCTCCTGCTGCGTCACAGGAAGCTGTGAGGTGTGATACCAACTACTGGTTACCAGTTATTAAAGTACTAAGGGCTAGCGGTGCCTGGCTGGCTTTGTCAGTGGAGCATGTGACTCTTCATCTCCGGATTGGGGGGTTTGAGCCCCACGTTGGGTGTAGAGAATACTTAAAAAAATTACTAAAGGACTGGTCATTTCTTTCAAAAGGTGTTTAGAGACCAGTGAGAGGCTCAAGCCTGTCCCAAGGTCACTCTCGTTTGCTAGCACTTCAGAATGGCAAAGGGGTCTGCATTTGCCTGCCTCAGAGGACTGCACAGACTGGGGAGGGGCGTTGTTGTTGTGGAGGAGGGCAATTACAAATCCCCAGTGCTTTTCCTCTCTGCCCACTTCTCTTGGTTTCACCAAAACTGCATTGTAGCCATAGGATGTGCATCATGGTGGAAAAAAAAGTCTGGGCACTCTGGGTCCAGGCCCGAGTTCCAGCGGTGGCATCCCAGAGGTCTAATGTCCAGAATGTCTTCTGACTCCAGATCACACTTCCAGAAAAGCCTCTTTTTAAGCCTAGGTCCTGGTTAAAACGTGTCAGCAGTGCCCCGATGCTCAAAGGATGGCACCCAAATCCCTTAGCCTGGGATCTATCCTGGACCCAGCCATACTTTTCCCCAATTCCTCACCCCTCCAACTCCAGGTCCTGGCCACAATTCCCCAAGGGCAGGTCCTCTGAGGCCACCAAGTTTCCATAGATCAGTTTCTCTGCCAAGAATGCTTCTCCTCACATCTCCAGTTGGCAACCTCACTCTTCCAGCTGAAAGATCGCCACCTCTGGGAGGCTTTCCAGAAATGCCCCAGTGAGCTGCCCCAGCATCCATCTGCCATCAATGGCCTACTGTCCCAGTCACATTGCATTTCAATTTTTGATTGGATAATTGTGTGTGCCTCCCCAACAAGACCGTGAGCTCCATAAGCACGGGGACCATACTTACTCGGCAGGAGCTCAAAAAAAGCCTTGCTAAATGGAGGCAGTCCCCTGGCCCTGTGCCTGCCAGGACACTGATGCGGAACCACTGGAGATGGTCCTGGTGGTCAGGCAATACCTAGGGTTTCCTGCCAAGCCAGAAACAGGCTGAGAGTGAGCACTCTGGAGAATGGATAAGCAGTAAAGGGCAGAAGGTTCAGGAAAACCCAGGGATCCAGAGGAGCGGGTCCTTTCTACTCTCAATGCTCTCACCGCTCCCTCATCCCGATCACTGCCCACTGGGAGGGTCACTGAAAGCATCCGAGAGACCTGCTTGTGTGAAGAGGTAGAGGTTTATTGAAATATAAACATTCGAGAACATGTAAGATAGAAAATAACCACAACATATACAGACACTTGCTGCAAGAGGACGTCTGAGGTATTTATCCACTGCCTAGGCTACCCATGTGCTAGCACATTTTCCTGGTCAGAGTACACAGATGGCGAGGGGAGG